ACCAGCAGCGGCTCCGTAATTCTTCAGTCTTCAATATCAAAGGCTGGCAGTGAATACTCGAGAAAAACATGGCTGCCTTTATACACATCGCATTGAATATTTTGAGCCTTCTGATTGGTTAACCCTTCTATTGGTGAACTATAAAATGAGTCAGCTCATTTTGGCTGGCTCGCTAGTACACCAGGGTACCCAAAAATTCCAACACATACTTGGTTTAAAAGTGGTTTCGCCAATTGAAAAAGGGAATACAGGTTCAATTCCAGTCAGCAGGAACATTTTCTTTGGTCAGACTTCTCAAACTCTAGGCCAGTTGACATTAATTACACTATTTAAAACAACAGCAATGTCAAACACATATTATGCACATTAATGCAATATTCACTTACAAAAAATAAAAGAATTATTCTTACAGTCCAAAATGTTTCAGCTTTAAATACCCCTTAAAGGGTTGATAAGTCATAAAGAATAAACAAATAACAAATCAATCAAGTTAACCTGTAGTAAATTTAATTCTAGATGAACATTAATTATAACTGACTGCAAATTACAATTCTTACAAAACACTAATTGTTAAATGTTCACTGTACTTTGGTATATTACTTACCTTTAATTCAACCTGGATGTTTTATAAAAATTGTTTTGCATTCAGTGATGGACTAAATTTAGCTACACAATAAAGATTAACCTTTAATCTTGTTGCCGTAAAAATTCTAGCAAAACATTTTTTTTTGTTTTCAAAATGAATCTGTTTTATTTATGTCCGCAACATGAAATTCAAAATATCTGAACAGAAACACATTTGTTCAAAATATCTATTATCAGAGGAGATTATAGGTTAGAATGTTTTGGAAAACACATAAACATTTGTAAAAGGTTCATTGACATTTATAGATGAAGGACTGTATAAAAGTTCATTGAATTCAAACAATGCCTGGGAAGTGAATGTGAGACAAACTTTTGCTGGTACCAGGAGATACTTGAAACAAATGGTGGAAACTAATGATTTTATTTTATATTTTAATTTTATTTATTTGTATCCTGGTACCAGAGGTGACTTGGAAAGAAACAGTGGAAACTAATAATTTTATTTTATTTTTACTTTTTCATCTTTTATTTATTTACTTAATTATTTTTTGCTAGAACCAGGTTTTCTTTGAAAGAAATGATAGAAAGTAATAATTTTATTTTGTTTTTATTTTTTATTTATATTATATTTTTTCATTGCTGATGTCATAGCTTACTTTGAAAGAAATAGTGGAAACTAATAATTTTTTAATTTATTTATTTTATTTGCTGGTACTACAGCAAACAGTAAAAATCAGTCTTTTAGGGGTATTTTGATGGTACATGGGTTACTTTGAAAGAAATGGTGGAAATTAATCATTCTTTCTTTGCTGATACTGTGGCAGGGGTTTACTTCAAAATAGATGTTGAAAACTATCTTTTTACTTCTTTTTGCTGGTAGCAGGGGCTTAGTGGAAACTACTCATATCATAGGCTATTTTAAAAAAGATGATGAAAACTTTTTTTATGATCAAATTCCTTGTATTTTGAGGCAGTGTTTCTTAATCCAATAATGAAAAAGTATTTATTTTATGCAACAAATATTTTTCATCATTATCACCTTCCTTTTCTTAACTCAATGTACTCAGTCCTTCTCTATTAATCATATAGATCAAATATTGTACAATGAAAATTCTAGATCAAAATTCATTTAAGAGGCTACAGATTTATTGATCCAATCTTACATATTAGATGATACTTGGCCTGACCCATTTTCTAATATCTGACCAAATGACCAAAACATAGATGTTGGATTTTGCAATGGCTTGGTTGTGCTGAGAATTTTTCTGCACTATTATATATACCTATCCAGCTATACGTTTTTGAAAAAATAACCAGCTATACGTTTTTGAAAAAATAATATTACCAGATATACGTTTTTGAAAAAATATTACCAGCTATATATTTTTGAGGAAAAAAATATTAGCAGAAATGGATTTTTGACAAAACAAAAATATTACCGGAAAAAAAATACAAGTTGTCGGCATTAAATGACCCATTGAGGTTGATATGCCGTAAAACAAACCAAACCAAACCAGGATACTCAAAAATTCATTACCTGATGTTTTATCAAAGTTTTAATATAAGTATTTAACTCAACCAATCATATGATAAAACAAATTCTTGAATATTATTTTTCATTATTTGACTTAATAAAGTAGATAAACAGACTTTTATTTCCTTTTTTTTTTTTTTTAGAGCATTTCAAGATCTAACAATATTCATTTGTTTTTTTTTAAAAGATAAATTTGAAAGTTCCAGCAATCTATTGTAAAAATGTCTCAGTTTGGATTGTAGAGATACAGAAGGTGCTTCTCTCCCTTTAGTGGAGATAAGTCATGTGTGTCACGTGACGGCCACTTAATGACATCACTCTATACAGTGTTAAAAGCATCAGTCACATTCAGTTTCTTTGCAATAGCCAAAAGGAGAGGTTGCTATCTTTAGCCAGGGCCTCACCATGGCTCAAGCAGAGGCTAAATCTACTTCCCCAGTAGTATACAAGTCCATTGTACTGTTTCCCTTTTGAAATATATTTTTCCCAGATACTGAAAGAAACTCCAGCTCGTAGTCCTCAATTTGGGAAAACCCAAGACTTGCTGTTTCCTATTCATGCAATATGTCCTCACCTGAGACATAGTAGATGAATCTGGTCTGTTTGAATCTAGTCCCAAACATGGCTTCTCCAGACACAGGAGTATCTCCATATTATATGTAAGACCCTTCCATTTTGTTTCTCCTTACACTTTGCTCACTGTGTAGATATATATATATTATTTTCTGCATGGGATAGGCATGTATATATAGTTTAATGTATGTCTTAGTAGTATAAAAGTCATTCTTAGAACAAAGCAAGTCGATTAAAGTGTCGGTTCGTGTATTTGGTTGCATAGTAATTGTGAGTTCAGTTCCCAGACCAGGTAGTGCACTCAAACAGAGTAAGCAGTAACTGAATAGTACTAAATAAAAACACTAAATAAGATATCCCCAGACATGGACTGTGGAACAAGAACAATCTACCCCAGTAGATTAAATAAAGGTTTCAGTTCAAAATTCCTTGAGGATTACTTGGATTGAAAGAAGGCCAAAGTGCAGAATGGTCGACACATAGTGATAATAACAGCAAAGATGAGGATATTAGTCTGATAAAATGGAACATCTTCAGTTCAATTTTGTAAATTTCCATGATTATTGTATTATCAATAAAAATGGCATGGATAATTTTTTTTTTTTATTTTATTTTTTTTATATATTTATAATTTTCTATAGGTTTTAGTTATACACTTAGAATTTCTACAAACCTGATTAGAAGAAAAAAAGATCAATAACACTCAGTAGTCATTGTCAGTAAATGCATATTCTTCTATGTGCCATGTCCTTTTAGAATGTTGGCGATCATGGTTCTCCACAATTTCCTTACTTGCTGGTCACTCTTTGTAGCGTAAAGGTCCTAAATGCCTAACTTGTAAGTTCCTCTTAGTACCATAAAAGTTCTAAAAGGCTTACTTGCAAGTCTGTCTTAGTATCATAAAAGTCCTAAGAGTCCTACTTTTTTTTAAAATCAGATTTACACCAAGTAAGGCAGTAAAGCCACTAAGTCACAAGGGGTTACTGGGTGTGAAAGAATTAGAAAGCAGAAACATTACTAAGGAGTAAGAGCAATAGAAAAATAATCAGGAAGGCAGTAGATAATGGTTGATATTGCATTTAAATCTTAGAAGATTAAAGTTAACTGGAAAGCATGGAGCCAGAAGAGAGTTACACAAGTGAGAAGTGCAAGAAGAGAAACTGTTCGTACACTTACATCTAGCCAATTCAACTGAAAATTGATGAGACCTTGTTGTTAATCTAGTACTGCACTTAAATTCATAATGGAGGCACGGTGGAGTAATGGATAGCGGTTCAGATTGAGGATTCTGAGAGCTGAGTTTGAAATCCAGTCAGATCCATTACATTCACTTATGTGCTAATACCCTTGGAAAAGAAATGATGAATCCCCTTCTCTCTCCAGCTATGAGCAAATAGAAGGATAGACTGGGTTCATTATCCTTGGGTGGCAGCCAGTCTAGGAGAAAGTAACTCTGAATTCAAAACTGTATGTAGCCCTGGCATAGCACATATTATATAGCTAAAGAAAGCATCATTTGCATTGGCTCAATGATCTCGACTACGGTTGTGTGAGGATGATGAAATTCAAAAAGTATAGGTACTATAAAGGAAATTTCATCAGAACAATTACCATGAAAATATTTATAGAAAAGACGCAGAGAAACAACATTATGATGGTGGGAAAGTGACTGAAGCTGAGACACCAGGTCAGAACCAATAATATTGCTGATTCTTCTTTGGATTTTATCGAGAATCTCTAAATATATAGCAGGAGCACCGGACCATATGGGGCAGCAATATTTCAGGCATGGATGAATGGTAGACTTATAGATATGTAAGATGGATTCAGGAGGGAAAAAATTTTCTAGCATGACAAAATGAACCAACTTTCTTATCAGTTGACCTAGCAATGGATTCTAATATAATCTTTCCACTTCAGCAGACAGTAATGAATTACTCCCCTCAAGGACAGCATCAGCCATGCTGATGGAAGGCAACTTCTATATTCATATCATGTTTCTATAATGAGAAGGCTTTATAAAACACAACATTTTGATGAACTAGTGTGACTGAAATCGATTATTTTAATTTTTCCTTTATCCTTTCTCTTTGAATTGAAACATTTTGAAAAATTTTAATAACAGGAAATTATTAGAGATTTTTTGAGAATCTATAGAAACATTGTCTGTTTTACTTTAGTTTTTGTTTTCTTCATCAAACCAAACCAATTAACATTCACTAATTTATTTGTTTATTCACATCATTCATATTTTTAATTGAATAAATTATCATTAAAAATACTTTCTTTTCTTTTTTTCTTCTTTCAGTCAGTTTTCAAAAGGGTTGTTATATTGGACAAGAATTGACTGCTCGCACTCATCACAGAGGAGTTGTACGCAAACGATTAATGCCAATCTTTTTTGAAAGGTTAGTTTTCCTTTTCATGATATTTCACTTTTACTTCAAATTTTATTTGGAATCATACATGATAAAAAATTATTTGTATATTAGCCTTATCCTTTTGGTAATTTTTTTTTTTGACCACTGACAATCCCTCTCTTCTTGATTTTTTACTGCATTCCTCATTTTTAATGTATTCATATTTTACATATATTAACCCTATTCTGTAACATTTGCATTAATTCCTGACCACTGGTCATTCTTCCTGATCTTCACTACACAATATACACATTAATGCTGAGACCTGCTAAAACAAATTTTACACTAAAATAAAATTACAGCAAAAACACTTTATTTATTGTTGTTCAAAAAATAACCTGTTATTGACAATGGCTGAAGCATCAATGGAATTAAGAAAGTCTTGTGGACTATTTATTGTCCCTCCATGACTGCTCTATAACTGTAAACTTAGCCTTGGATAACAAGTATTCTTCCTGATGGTTTATTCTTGACAGTGACTTAACTCCCTGTTCTTGACTTCAGTTGAACTTGGTTTTGAAGGAGAGTGTATTATTGTTATCTGAATTCCCTTAGACAAGGAACATTTTAATCATTGTGTGTGGATGTTATTCAACAACATTACAGAACTCAATAAGTACCTGAAGATGGTTAGAAAATATCTGGCCAAAATGTTGTGAAAAAGCAACAAACAACAAAAATCAGTAAATTAGTTTGAACCAACCACATGCACTTAGCAAATTGAATTTGTTTCCAAACTGTTCCAGTTTTAAAGTAACTCACAATTAAATTTTTGGGTTATCTATACAATTTAACCCGTTCTATAGCACGTTAACTATTGTTTAACATTTATCGTTTACAGCCATATCACATTGAAATATTGGTTTTTGTACAACAATCAATGTCAAGTCTAGTCAGTACCTAAATAGATGATCGCTTGAGAATATCAGGTACTGTAAGCTTGGATGTGCAATTGGATAATGGTTCAGACTTAAAAATTGGAGAACCATGTTCCAGTCGGGTTCATTATATCATGAACAAATACCCTTGGAAATAGTATGAATCTACGTCTTCTCCATCCAGCTATGGTTAAATTAGTAGGACTTTTATCAGTAATCATTTTTATCTTTATAAAAAATCCTGTAATCTAACAATATTTTCTGGCTTTAAATAAACTAGAAATGGTTGATAGGCTATAAAAATCAATTAATCTATACCATTTATAACAAGTTAATGCTTCTGTACCATTTATAATATTTTAGTAGGACTAAGTTCAGGCTATATGGTGCTTTTTTTTTTTTTAAATATTTTTTTTGAACTGAGGAATGTCTGGTTTTGGTCATTTCAAATGTTCAAATGAGCTTCACTCTTTAGTTTCACCAGTTCAAACCTTTACAGCTAGAACTTACCATGTTATGCCCCATGAAGTTGTATCACTCTCATTTCTTTTGTATTTCAAATGTAAGGAGTAAGTCATACATATGATCTATCACTAAAGAGGCAGGAAAAATGGTCAGTTCCTGTACCAGTCCGATAAGTACTTAACTCTTTGTACTATCCTCTACCTTTACAAGAGAAGGGATCAAGCCTAAAATGGTGTACTGCTGTCATATTTGGGAAGAAATTGCCCAATCTTCACTTTCCAGTCTTGATAGTCCAAAAGCATCTCTCCGTCCTTGTGGGTGACAAATTATTTTCCATCCTGCAACCCATCTCTCACAGATGTTATGTGGCAAGTCTCTCACGGCTCTATTGCTACTTCCATGGAAAGTTCTCAGACTGACTGCATTCCTTGGCTTTGCCAGTTCTAACCTTCACGACTAGGACCCACCTTACCACTCACATTGTAGCAAACCACCTTCATTCCCTCTGTATTCCATTGGTGAAAAGTAAATTCCACTCAAACAGTTTCTTCCCATGAATCACTGCACTGTGGAACCGTCTCCCAAGAGGCTGTTTCTGCAATCACTACAAACTTAACCTGTTCAAATTTTGGGTTAACTGTTATCTTACCTATCTATCTGCATAAACTGTACCTCTTACTCTGTAACCATCTACTTTGATTGGCTCCCGAGCCTTGTACAGGGTGAAATAAAAAATAGGTATTCTGGCAAATCACTATAGATAACACTACAAAAAAAAAAAACCATGATATCTAAGGTTTAAAATTCATTTTAAAAATAAAGCTTCTTTCTTGAAACTTTTATTTTATTTTTAATTCCAAGCTAATAGATTAAAATTAAGCTAATTACTTTTTCTGTATCGACACTTTAAAATTCTTGCAACCTTCTGTCGAATTCATACCGTCTTGAACTTATATCTAAAATCCAGACAAAGGCAAACCATCACTGTCAAAATATAATGCCCACGAGGTACTAATCACTGACCATTCTAGCCCTGGCCTTTGAATTCTGTAACAAAATGCACAACCCTTTTGGGCCGTGAGACAGGTTTATCACTTTGTTATTTATATAACCTGTTGCCAATGAACTTTTGTTTGGTCTTGTGCATTTTCTAAATGTTTTTGTAAATGTTAAGTTATTTGACTGCTTGATTATTTAAATTTAGATTTGTTTTCAGTGAAATGTTAGCTCTCAAGGAACAAGGTCATATTCTCACATGTTGCAACTCACATTAATATCTATTTGATGGTGCCAAAATCGTTTATGTCATTGTAGAAATTTGCAAAGCAAATTTTGGAGACAATTGCTATAGCAACTTAAACCATTTGACAGTGGCAAGAATGAATGTGAACTTTTTTTTTTTTTTAATCAAGCAAGGCAGCAAGTTTTCATTGTTTATTTAAGTTATTACCACATATGGGTAAGCATCTGTTTGTTAGATAATGGTAGTGCCCTGTTTTGTCAAAATTCAGTACGTGAGTCCTCTATAGGGTGCAGGCCTGGGCACTGATATATAGAGGCCATGTGCTGCCCATACCACATACCCCCTCTCCCTCTCAACTGTACCAACAATATCCAAAGGAATACAGAGTATTACTTTTGGTGCCCGGCTTGCAGAAGTTGGTGGAACATTGCTAGTGTTGACAGCCAACCACCTTTGGAGTTCAACACTAGATTTTCTATCTGAATTTATTTCCATAGCCTTTTCCATATTTGGATATGACCACAAGACAGTGAAGGTTTAAAATCAAAGTTTTCCTTCTCTTAGATGGATTGTCTTCCCAAGCTGATAAGCTGCATCTGCCCAAAGCAGCTGGTTATGAGATACCAGTTGTCCACATTCTCTGGCTTGAAGTTGAACTGAGTTGTGAGAGGCTATTTGAGACACATACCATGGGCGCTACCATTCCCAGCTATGATAACCTTTCGAATATATATAAACATTACATATACTGCATGTTTTAGAAGCTCCCAAAAAATTAATTTAAATATATATATATATACACATATGTATATATAATAAAATATAGTTTTAAGGTCTGCTATATTTATTTATAGTGCTCAATATCTGGGATAAAGCATATATAAATATAAAAGTGGACATTGAAGTCAACACCTAGTAAGGACAGTCTGTTTCATGAAACACACCGTCTCCACTGGGTGTTGACTTCAATGCAATGTCCCTTTATATATATATATATATATATATATATATATATATATAGTTGTATCAATACCTACAAACCATAATGGGTATGTCCCCACTCACATAAATCCAGTAGTAAATACTGTATGTTGGTCTGCATTTGGAGATTCATTGTGGAATTCACCTGACTCACTTCTAGCAGTTGACAACTTCTTCTATATGCCACTGGCGAATGAATCTTATATGAGTTGTTCTTATCCTAAGTATTATCATTCATTACCAACCTTCGTGTGATTATTCTATTCAGTAACCTTCCCTAGGTTACAACACACACACATATATCTATATATAGAGTCATCCACAAACAGACTATTTCGCTATATCACAGCTCATTAGTGTGGCTAGACATCCGATTGCTTCAGGCCGGAACTGAAACCCGAACAATTCGGTATCATATATATCAGTACCTCCAAAAAGAGCAATACTTAAGGTTTAAAGTAAATTTTCAAAATAAAAAATATTATTTTTTTAGTTTTATTTTACTTTTAATTCCATGCTAATAGATTAAATTTAATATTTCCAATAAGCAAATCTCGTAATCTTTAAAATATTTTAAGTACTTTTGGCTTTATAGTCTTACTGACAAGGACACTTGTTGAGGAAATATTAGAAAATTACCAATAAATTTTAAATTTGCTACAGCCACCATGATTATTTTCTCATAATGCTGTGTATGGATGTCACTATTTATAAAAATCGGCATGTTTATACATGTACAAAAACAATTTTTTACTTCTTTTTAAAATACTGAGACTCACTAAATTGTAGTAAGCATTTCCATTTATGATTAATAAATATAGTTGTTATTTAATAAAAATATTACTTGACCAATAAAAGTCTATAAATTCTTCTAATTAAAATTTTTAAAAAATGGAATCAATTCTTGTAAAAATTTCTTATTCATTGAAAAAAAAAATTTTTTTTTACATCAATAGTGTCCATATATATTTTATCCATAAATGCATTTCTAATAAAATAAAGCCTTAGTTCTATTGCATTTTTTATTTTATGATTCAGAGCAGGTTTTCTGTAACTTGGGGTCCTGTTTGACAAAATAACTTGATGATTTAAATTCTCCTAGGACTTGTCCTTATAACTGATATAAACATTAAGTGCTACAAAAGAGAATTTCTTGAAATTTCATAAAATTAAATAAGTGTGGGGTAACAAATGTAAAAAAAAATATTTTTACAAATATTTTCTCAGAAAGAAACCTTTCAAAAACAATTTAATTCATTTGTGAATAAGTACAGAAAGTTTCATTAGAATACAAAAATTATCTAATTTTTACTAGAATTTCCAAATCAATGTTTTTCACTGCAAAAGATGTTCAAATTAACCCATACTATGGACCTCTGTTGATGCCAGAGAAACAAAATTTTTTTTAATAAAATTATGAA